GGTTGGCCAGGGGGGATCTATTTAAATTACAGCCATCCTTTCTAAAATTGCATCTACAGATAAGAATACACATGCTAGGAATGCAAATCTGTATCCTCTTTGGGGTTGTTGGTTTTTTTGGGGGGTGATGCCTTTCCATTTTTTCACAATATGCATATGGTCGCCCCAGTCAGTCTATCAGTGCAGTCCTAGGTATGTTGACTCCCATGGTGGCTTGAGATGTTTACTCTTAGATAAAGGTTGCAGCCTTGATTTAATAAATGCTTAAATGAACTTTAGGACGGGGGTGGAGAACATGTTTTTCTTCCAGCCAGAGGGCCACATTCCTTCACAGGCAACCTTTCAGGGGCCACTTGCCAAAGTTGGGCAGGGCCAGAGGCAAAAGTGATATGACGTTTACCTTTCACAGTAGGCAATATCCCAACAGAGCAAAAGTCAGAGGTTTATACATCACATCACATCACATACATCTCTCTACATCCAGGCAAGCAATAGGCGTTGCTACAACTGAAGGACACATGCCAGCCTGGCAAAGGCACTAGAGAAAGGCACAAAGCAGGAGCAGAGGCCGGAGTGGCCTGGGATGAGTTCCAAGGGCCAGATGGAGAGGCCTGGAGGGCCACATTCATCCTCCAGGCCTGAGGTTCCTCACCTTTAGGAGAAAGGAGATCCTTGGGAACAAATGCATTTTCTCTCTACTACAGAATCGTAGCAGAGAATTTAAGATCATAAAAAAATCCTTAATCTTTTCAGCCTCATAGATATTTCATTTTGCTAAGAGTTTTCTTTCTACCTAGTTCTGACTGTATAAACACTGCAGAAGAATGTTTACAGAGATTATATACATTGTAAAGTGAGTTGAATTTATCAGAACGTGGTTTGTTGAAATAATTTGGTTTAATATAGAACCCACTTTAAAGCTGCTCAATAAGGGGTGGAGGGCCTTTTTTTTTTAAAAAAAAGGTCTATTCTATTTTTTGACTATTATTATTGTTGTTGTTATTAGTTATATACCGCCCCATACCCAGAGGTCTCAGGGCAGTTTACAGAAGAAAATCAAAATATAAAACTACAAAATACATAATCAAATTTAAAACAACCCAATAATACCCCCAAAAAACACATTTTAAAAGGGCACAGGATATCAATCAAATCAAATGTCTTCTTACGGACAAGGTTGCAGTCTATATCAATGAACCACATTGACAGAGGATGTCTACTGAGAAGACAAACCCAGGCTACTTCCAGACTGTCACTATTTTGTGGGTGGGATCCAGCTGCAAACCTAGAAATTCAGGTTGTGCAATTAAATCTTATTTAATTATTTTCCCTTTTCCACAACCCTTTTCCAATAGGATCTTTCCTTGTGACTTTCCAGTTTAGGAATGCTGATATATGCTGAAAGCACACAATCTTTTAAAGTCATTTTCCCCACCCTCCTCCTCCTCTTCCTCCTCCAGTTACCTGCCAAGACAGAACAGAGCCCCGTTTCCCATAGAACAAGGGATGCTGTCATCAACACCTCCAGCTGCTGAAGATTCACAGCAGCCATGTGCACTGCCAAAGGTGTTAGTGATGGCACCCACTGCTTGGAGGAAGAGGGACACACAATCCAGAACACAGGTGCTGGCAGGAACTCTTCTTCCCACCACCACCACCCGACCAATAGTTCGACTTCAGAAAGAAACACTAGCAGATTTAGTTATCAGACAGTAGCAGTAACAACAGGCAACTGGGAGATGAGTCTCCCTCAACCTACTCCAAGATTTAGATGCTTTATCCACAATCTTCCCATTAGCTGGTGCCCCCGTCCAGTATTTGGACTTCAGAAAGAAATGTTGGCAGATTCAGTTATTTTGTGGATACACTGGAAGTTAACAGCCACAACAAGCAGCTGGGGAAATGAGGTTCTACCTCATCCAACCCATCTCCAGTTTCAAATACTTCATCCACCATCTTCCCACCAGCTGCTGGAAATAACAGTTCTTGTTCTTTTTCCTGAAGAATATCTGGGCTCCTGAAATAAACACTAGCAGATCTAATTATATCATGGATAGATCAGAAGACAACAGGCACCTGAGAAAATGAGGCTCCATCTCCCTCAATCCACTCCCACTTTTAGATCTTTCATTTGCCATCTTTCCCATCACATGCAACCTAATCTCTTAAAGTGGAGATGCCAGGGATTGACTTGGGGCCTTCTGCATGCAAAACACTGCCCTCTGCCTCATAATCCATTGTCCACCTCACCAAGCAATGTCTACTCTGACTGAAGGAACATCTGCACACCACCCACTGTTCAGCCTGGACACCAAGTTCCAGCTCCGAGGACCTTCTGGTGGTTCCCTCATTTTGAGAAGTGTGGTTACAGGGGACCAGGCAGAAGGCCTTCTCAGTAATGATGCCCACCCTGTGGAAAGCCCTCCAGTCAGAAGTCAAGGAAATAAACAACTATCTGACTTTTGGAAGACATATGAAGGCAGCCCTGTATAGGGAAGCTTTTAATGTTTGATGTTTTACTGTGGTTTTATAATCTATTGGAATCTGCCAAGACTGGCTGGTGCAACCCAGTCAGATGGGCAGCATACATACACATCATCATCATCATCATCATCATCATCATCATTATTGCAGCTCTCCATGATCTCAGATAAGGAAAGGATTTTTACATCATCTGCATTCTGATTCTCTTACCTAGAAATGCTAAGCACTTCTATGTTGTGGTCCCAGGAGAAAACCATTTGTTGAAGGTGTTGACTTCTTCCTCTTCCCCTTCTCCTTGGGACTTGTAGGACGATAGGCTAGGAGCCCAACAGTAGATGGTGCCAGAGATAATGACAGGTGAAGCCAACTATTTCTAGTTCTGTCCTCAGACTCCTTCCTCCTGAATTCTACAAGGGCAACACTGAGACTAAGGAGGAGGAAACTGACAGCCAGTGCTGCCTCCTGGACTGGTTGTTAAGTAAGAAGACAGGCAGATGAAGGCTGGCTGAGGGCAGACTGTGCTTGGTGGGGCAATGTGCAATTTCCCCTAATAGACCACCATCCAATGCTGAGCTGTTTTAGCAGTGAGGTTCTCACCTCAGTGTTCCCCCCCCCATATGCTTCCTGAATCTGCTGATGCTTTTTACTTGTGCATTAAAAGTGGCATTTTGGAGGAACGGCAGTGAGTGAAGAGTGGATGGACATAGGAAGCTGCCTTAACACTGAGTCAGACCATTGGTCCATCTAGCTCAATGTCATCTATACTAACTGGCAGCCAGATTTCAGACAGGGAGACTTCCCCTAGCCCTACCTGGTGACGCTGTTAGGGATTGAACCTGGGACCTTCTACATGCAAAGCAGACGCTCCAAAGCAGCTACGACCCTTCACATGAAGGTCTGGAAGACAGAGAGCTCCCAGAGCTCAGAGATTTGGCCAGAGACTGAGGATCATGTGGACCACCTTTGACCATTGTGAGTGCAAGAAAGGGGGGGGGGTGAGCCAGACTAGCAGGAGATGAGTGAAAGGGTGAATACTGCTCCCCCCACTCACGCCTGCATAAGCTTCTTCTGTGATTCTCTGCCAGAAGAACTCAACTCTCTTGGGGAAGTAACATCCTCAAGTTCCTGCTTTTCCACATCAGATCCTGCTGTTTACGTGGTGCTTTGGTCCATGAAAAGCAACAAGACAGCAGGAGGTTTTTCCACCTGAGATGCCAGAAGTGAGGTCTGTTTCTGGACTTTTCCTACCCCCTGCCTGCCTCAAAATATCCTCTTAACATCTGTTTCCTTGATTATTTGCATTTGTTTATCAAAATATTAGCACCCAAGCTTTTCCCGTTCATAAGCCCCTGAGGTGGCAAACAAACTGCTAATGAACAAATGCAAAATATTGAAACAGTAAGCATATCAGGAGCACAAACAAGCAAATAAATGTGACAATGAACATTCACTCTGGTATGATTTCAGGTTTTCATACACCTTTCGGTTAGTCATCTGTTCATCCCACACATAATAAGTGGTACGCTGGATCAGGCCAGAGAGCGGCAAGAGACAGCGGGCAGAGCAATTTAAGGAAAGCGGGGAGTTTTAAGCAGCTACGGTTAATAGACACAGAGGTGAGAAGGTCACAGGTATAGTGAGAAATAAGGGCCAAAGAGTAGAGGGCTGTGGATCAGAGCCTTAAAAGGGCAGGGAACCCGTGTTGGGTCTGGAAAAAGGGGTGCGTGCTTGTAAATTTCACCTTGACCAGCGGCATTCCCAGAAATCCTGCAGATAAATTGGTTGGAAACGCTGGCCAGATTTTCATGCATTTGCCAATTTAATTGGTTGGAGGAGGTGGAGATGGACTCTTCCCCACCTCTCCTGTTAAAAACACCGCATAAACCTTCACAAGAAGCTTCCAGAAGGAAAAAGGGGGAAAGGTTACCCAAAGCAATCAGTGCTGCGGTGCCAAGGAGTCTGCAGCCGACCCTGCGCCAAACTCACTCGCTTGCTCAAGCCTTTTGGGAAGGAGAAACAGACAGATATATATATGCGTCTAATCTCGGAAAGGGTTGCAGTTGATCTGCCCCCATTTGCAGATAGCACAGGCAGAGGAGGAGAAGGACTGCTAGGCTCCAGAGAAGCTGCAGGGAGACGTTTGGTGGTGGCAGTGGCTGTGGTGGACGGCAGGAAAGCTTTGGAGAATAAGGCCTCTCTCCATCCCTCTCCGACTTTTGCTGCAAAGCTTAAAGCCAGAATGTGACCCTCAGCCGGCGCACTGTGGTCAGAACAGCCAGGACTTTGTGTTATTTATTTATTTTATTTATGATACGCATTCCTTTAGTTACTTATTTAAGAGATCAGCCTCTTCAATCAAACCCCTAAGCAGCATTTCCATGAACGTAAATAAATAAAACGCCACCCAAACTGTTCAAATGACACATACTAATAATCAGTGCTTTTTTTCTGGGGTTCGCAGGGGTACGCATACCCCTAAACATTTTGCAAATCTAAGTTTGGCCTCATTGAGGGGTAGTATTTCAATATGAGTAGGAAAATGAGAGTACTCCTAAATATTTTTTTTAGGAAAAAAAGCACTGCTAATAACACACTGAAAACAAATCAAACCAAGAGTATACTGGTACTTCCAGATCTGGGACAGTGCTTTAATGGAAAAATTACCAAGATATACCCAAACATTCTTGGCTAATATGCTTATGAAGGACAATTGGCTGGAAGTATAATGCTGTTTTTGAAACAAAGCAAAAATACAAAACAAAGCTCTCAATGTCATCTCCATTCTTTGTTAATCCTCCTTCTTCCTTCCCACCTACCACTACGGTATTTCTGTCTCATTTTGCTGTCAACATTAGATTGTATGCTGCTAGGGGACTGTGACATATATTTGCTTATGTTGATCCATGAAACACCACCTAAATCAATGACAATTGACTCCCATCACCCCTGACCATTGCACATTCTGGGTGAAGCTGATGGGAGTTGGAGTCTGACGACACTGGGAGTACACCCATCCCTCTTTTACCAAAATGCCGCAAGTACTCTTCTGCAGCAGCTGCGGACCCTTAAAATTATGTATGTCCAGCTGAACTTGTAGCATCACCCCAAGGCGAGAATCTGACAAGAGCTGGCCTTACCATTAGTCTGCCTGACTCAATTGTCAGATTTTGAGACTGCCGTAAACAGACAGCAAAACTGCACATTATTAGGATATTTTTACTGTCATAGGGGAAGACTGCTATTTTTGGTTTTTCTGTCTTGGGCTGTTTCTCTACTGCCCTGCCTCAATTCTAGCTTTTAAATACAGAATCCAGCCACTCAGGATTAAAGTATGAGCCTGACAGCAAACAAAAACCACTTTCTTTGCTAAAGCATTTTGTCGGTGGTGATGCTGGTGATGCTAATTTGCCGGACAACGGCGAGATGCTAAGGAGTGAAACTAAGAGTAATATGATGGAAATTGCGGGAGAAGGACACACTCCCCCTAGTGGTGGGATCACCAACATTCCCGGCGGACATTATTTAAATATATATGGGTGCTTTGCTTTTAGGCAAGCAGGGCAGGCAGATTTCTGCAAAGCAGAGGCTGTAAAATTCAGAGTGCTGGATGTCAAGAGCAGGCAGGAGAGGCGAGGCCCTGGCTTGTGGGCTTCCTTGAAGCATCTGGCTGGCCACTGTTGGCAACGGAGTCCTGGAATAGGTGGCCCTGAATTCAGATCCAGCCAAGGCAATCCGTACACTGTGGCTTCTGTAAGATGGTCATGTTATTCGATGTGTGTTCAGTTATATATTGGAAATTTATAATTTGTGAAGTTATAAAGAGGGTGGCCTCTCCAGTATAACAAATCAACTTTTTTTTGTGGATAGGAAATTGACCAGACAGTGCACTAAAAAGTGTGGGATGATGATCAGTTGATGGGAAGGTGTATAACCTCTGCAAACAAATCAGGGTGAATGTTCCTTGCTGCATGCCCTCCCCTGAAATAAATCAGAACAAATGCTCTACAAAGGGCAAGCATCAATCAAGCTCCACAGAAGCAAATTGGGTTGAATGCACAATTAAACAGGTTGGCTGTGTTTTTATTCCCCTCATCTGTGCAGGTAGTTTTCGGAGCTGCAGGAAAACCCCCTAAACAAATCATACCTACAGGATGCTTTCAAAATATTGAAGGTTGGTGTAATGCATTTCTTCTTTTTATGGGATCTCTTCATTTAATATGGAAGGCAGTGTTCGTAAGAAGATAAAAACTGGCTTTGCAGCATCAGAATAAGCAACATTGAAGTCCAATGTCAAACAGGAACAATCCATCCCCTCTGTGGCCTTCTTAGGAACACAGGAAGCTGTGAATAATAACAATAACAATAACAATAACAATAATTTCATTTATTAATTGCTTCCCAGGAGGCAATTTGAAGTGATTTACAATGTTATATTTATCATTGATTTATTAACCGCCTTCTAAACCAGCATCTCGGGTACAGATTTAAATATAATGTTATTAGTCATTAACAATATGTCATATATAAAATAGTTACATCTTTATGAAAACAATTTAAAACAATTGCATGTGAAACACTTAAAAACAACAACTCTAAATATAGAAAGAAGTTCTAAACAGCAGCATACTTGAACCATTTCAGATGCAGGAGAGAGTGAGAGGCAGATAAATAAGATAAATTCACATTTATCCACTTCCAGACCAGTCACAGCAGTTCTTGCACTGGATGCTTTCTTTAAAAGGGGGGGGGGCGGGGAGGGGGGGCGGGGAGAGACTAGACTACTGCAAAAAGAAAAAAGACTGGACTACTGCAATGTGCACTATGTGGGTCTTTTGCTTCACCTGGAGCCTACAGCTAATGCAGAATGCTGCAGCATAATTGCTAGCAGGTATAAGACTCTGCCAGCATACAAGACCTGTACTGCAGAGACATGCCAGGGCTGCTGATTTGCTGCCAGGCCAAGTTCAAAGTGTTTCTGTGAGTTTCTATTAACTTGAGACCAGGTTTACCTGTGAAACCACCTTGCTCCATATACATCCACTCGACTGCTTCGATCTGCAGAACTAACACTGTTTCAGGTGTCACCTGTCAGGGAGGCCCTTTCCTGGTACTCTTTCCTGCACCTGCTAAAAGCATTTTTGTTTAGACAAGCCTGTCCAGAGAAGATGCAGAATGTTTACATGTGTTTTAATCTCTGTTTATTGCCAATTTTTATTATTGTCTGAATGCTTTTAAGTGGTTTTTTACTGATAATTTTATTGCTTTACTCTTCTTGTAACCCATTTCGAGGCTTTCTTTTGTTTTGTTTTTCAATAAAATAAAATAAATAAATTCACCCAGCATTCCAGCAGCACAGTCCTATGTCTTCTCAAACGTAATTCCCATTGAGCTCAATTGAGCTTTGCTTATTTCCAGGAGACTAGGTATAGGATTGCAGCCTAACTGTATGGGCTACTGGGTGGTTAAAGCGCGCTCCGTGCTCCAAAAGAGCACCCTTGTTTTCTTAAGAGTTTACATAAATCCGGAGAGATACAATAGCGATGTAATTTGCTAACCTGTTTTCAACGGGAGGTTCTGTCAATCTGGATTTTGACATTGGGCGACATCTGGTGGCAGGATGCAGAATTACCTGACCATTGCTACCCTCTGTCCTTTGAGATTGCAGAAGGCACGACAGAGTTTTAAAACGCCCGCACAGAAAGGTTATTAAACAAGAAGCAAAACTCTGCCTTTCAAGACTGAAACGCCAAGCTTTAATGTTGTTAGCAAAAAAAAAATCCATTTTGCTACCAGCCATTTAAAAACGGGACTGCAGAAATTAAAACTTCATTTAGAGAGCCGCCAAACACATTCTCTACCACATTGAGAAAGGAGCAATGGTTAGCGAGTGTTTCTTTATACAGAAGGATCAGCAGCAAAGTTTGCTAAATAAAACAAACAGAAAGTTTATAATCAGAATAATGGGATCTGGTTTTTATTTCCCTAGTTCTACTAGGAATGGAGTAGGGTGTTATGTAACCAAATCTTTTTTTCTCCAGCCAGGAGAGGATAGATATGAAATTTAGGAGACCGTGACTTGAAGATCTTAGCATTTCTGTTCCTTGTCTTCCCACCACTGCCTCCATTAACCCTCTTGCAGGTCTGGAAGCTTCACCCTGGTTCCCGTGGAGTACATGATTTGACAGTACATCATAATAAAGCTTGAACCCCGCTCCATTCCACATAAAGAAGCCAACCATTCTAACAGTTGCATCTTACTTTTTCGGGTCACAAAAAGCTGCTTTACCATGACTCAGACCATCTCTCCATCTCCTTCAGTATTGCCAACACTGATTGGCAGCTGCTCCCCGAGCTTTCGGACAGGGGACATTCTCAAATCTGCCTGGAGATGCCGGGGATCAAACCTGGGACCTTCTGCATGCAAAGCGATTGCTCAACCTCTGAGTTCTGGTGCTATCAACCTTGGCAACAGGATGGCATCCTCCGCAGCTTAAGGGATACAGGTTAGGTGGCACAGAGCATGCAGCTCTGCCCTTTGACACCTTGGCAAGAGAAGCCACAGACGCACATTTTTATAATTTGTTTGTTCAATTTCTATATCATCCGTCATCCGAAGATCGCAGGGCGGTTTGTAATATAAGAACACAAAATACATAACAAACAGTAACACACATAGAGAGAGAGACATTTAAAGGCTGTAGATTGTTTAATCAGCCAAAGGCCTGGGTGAAAAGAAATGTTTTTTGCTTGACATCGAAAGATATGCAATGAAGACAACAGGCGAGCCTCCCAGGGGAGTAATAATTTTGAAGTAATAATACAGATAATTATTTAAAGAGGATCCCCCTCCAAAATTTAGCCCAGAGTCAAAAATTACCCAAGTGCGCCACCTAAAGGTGGGCCTCCTCATCAGTCCTGATGTCTCCATGGGGTGGGTACATTAGATTATTTCCAGAGCCCCAAACTAACAAAGACCTTAGGATTCAAACAGAAAGGGTCATTGCTTTTGGCTTTACAATTTTTGTAAGCCTGACAAAATCTAGGTTAAGAGGACTGATTGGGGTCCCCTTATATTCCACCTCGACCACCAAGGTGCACTGATGGGGCATTTCTGGGGGTTCCCCACATCTTGGAAGTTTGGAAGGCCTTTAGAGTAGCAGGCTGTAAAAGGGTTCCCCCTACACCCAGTTTGGCAGGATGTCTCTAAAGAGCTATTTTTTAGGCAGGCCTTTACAGTATGATTTTTTTCACTTATGTTTCACATAAGGCTTAAAGGTATTGTATCCTTAACCTACAAGCATTTTCTGTAAACATAATGCTATAGGAGAGAGAGAGAGAGATATTCTTTAAATTTCCTTGGAAATTTCAATAAATAATGTAATGCAAAGGATTTTTAAAAAATAATCTAGATGTTTCTGACCGTTTTCTGTGGTCATGCATTCATTCCATTTAGATGAATTTTACGAACAACAGATAGAAAATCAAATCAATAATCTACACTGAATTCTGAATCACTGAATCACTAACACGGAAGACAGCAAGAAACCATTCTTTGCCCCACTTTCATAACAGAGACATCATTCTTCCTGCACAATCTTCCTAGATTAAGGCTGGCTTCTAATCTCCTGTGGACTATGCCTGTCCTTCAGATCACTTGTGCGTAGTCCTCATGAGTATCTGCATTTTTTGGCCTGTTCACTAGGCTACAGTGACCATTATTGCTCCAAAGTAGGGGTAGGGGGGGCCCTTTTCATTCTGGGGGCAGCGTTTCATTGTGGGCAACCTTCCAGCGGTTGCATGCCATTGGTGGGTGGGACCACATGCAAAAGTAGGTGTGGCTACATGCAAAAGTGGGTGGAGCAATGGAGGGCAGACTACCTTCCAGCCATGGAAATGTCAGGTTTCAAGGCAATACCCACATCTCTCCATCCAGGAAGCAAGAGGCATTATCACAGTTCATTGAGGAACTCCAGTCAAGCAAAAGCATTTGGGGAGGATGCAAAGCAGGGATGATGAAAAGACATGGACTGGAGAACACTTGGGCAGAGTCCCAACCCCAAGATCTTGGTTACAGTTTCTCCTGCTTAAACAGCATCAGTAGTCAATGCTGTCACCACTGAGAGACAGCTATGACTAAAGTGTTGTACAAATTGATGAAATAAATAAAAACTAATAACGAACCATCTGCCAAACTGGTATCCGGCTGTTCCATATGTTTTCTGTACACAAGAATGAATGCCCCTCTCCATATTTTGGTAACGTTCATATATGATGCTGTGGTTTGAGGGTTGTATCGAACTAAGCCATACTAAGAGTAAACCAGCTGAAATCAATAGGCCAGGGTTAGTCAGGTCCATTCATTTCCATGGGTCTGCTCTGAGTAGGTATGCCATTGGATACAAGTTCAAATATTTATTGCCACTTTGGACATGGCCCACCTTGGAAAAGCAGCATACAGCTAAATTAAAATGGCTTTCCCCAAAGGATGTGGGGAACTGTAGTTTGTTAAAGGTTTAGGAATGTAGTTGTGGGAAAGGTAAGCTACGATTCCTGTGATTATACGCAGCCACTAAATATGAAAAAAGAAGTGTTTTTTAAAAACATTTTTTAAAATAAAGCACGCTGCGATGGGAGGACTTAGGAGTCCTGGGGGCAAATGGTGGAGTGTGAAATAATATTTTACTTCCTTAACCTTCCTGTTAAATCAGGAACTGTTTATAAATTAGATGAGCTGTGACAGTATCGTCAAGCAGATAAAAGAAAAAACTCTCATTTCCAGAGACTCAGTTAAGATATGAATATAGTCAAATGTTCCTGACAAGAGGAAGCATTTCATGGAACAGATACACACATATATTTCCTCCCTCAGAATTTCCAGTTTTGCCTTATGAGGCCGTGGGAAAGAACAACGATCTGAACATGTTCAGAAGAAGAAGAAGAAGAAACCCCAACAAATTAATGTGTGTGCTTTTTAAAGCACTTTTTAAAAGCAGCTTTTTAAACAACATTTGTACTGGGCTCCTGCGCCTCTTGGCTCTTCCCCACCTCACTGCCAGCATGCATCTGTGATGATGGGGAGCCAGCAGGAATTTTGGGTGTTGTGCAGTCACAGGAGTTAGGCACATAGGAAGCTGCCTTATACCAAGTTGGTCTCTTTGGCTTAGTATTACCTACACTGATTATCAGCAGAATTTCAGGCAGTCCTAACTTGAAGATAAGCAGGGACTGAACCTTCTGTGTGCAAAGCAGATGCTCTACAACTGAGCAAAGGAACAAAGGAAGTTGAGCCGAAGGGAAGGTCTATCTTCTACCATTACAGAAGGGGTGGGAAACCTCAGGCCCAGGAGCCCAAATGCAACTATCCAGGTCTCTCTCTCTGACCCACAGAATTCTCCTCAAGGCACACCCTTAAGTGTCTTTGTACCTTGAAGGCTTTTGCACGACCAGAATATGTCTTTGAGTTCTGATGATCTTCTTACTTGCCTCGATGGAGAATAAGGAGGGTTTTGCAAGTGTGTGTATAAACTAGCCCAGGGACTATAACCCATCATTCCTAGCTAGCAGGACCGGTGCTCAGGAATGAAGGGAATTTTGGTCCAAAAACAGCTGGAGACTCAAGTTTGGGAAACCCTGAACTAGCCTCTTGTGCAAAAGAATAGAATGTACATTTGTCACTCTGCCTCGGTTTCCTCTAGTCGTGCCCACTGCTAACAAGTGCTCCCCAGAAAGTTGCCTCTCAGACTGAAAAGGTTCACACCACCTGCATTGCTGGCTCCGCACTGACACTGTGCCAATTTGCAGCTAAAGGGGGGTGTCTAAATTGCAACGAAATGGTTTTGACTGTTGCTCAATTTGTGGAGACCACTGTACTATAGAAACAGGAGTTGTAAGCGCATGGAAGGGCAATAGATCTGCACCACAGTTTCCTGGTGCATTTGGAAATTCAAGCCATGCTTTGGGTTTTCAACCATGGTTAGCGCAGTCTCTTAATAGGGAGGCGCCATGTATATAAAAGGCAAAACAAAAGCAAAAACAAAGGCAGCTGTGTTGGTCCATAAGAAAACACTCCTAAATCCACAGTGACCTGATACTGTATACTGTTGTAGTTAAGAGAATGAGGAAAGGCCTGGTTCAAACCTTACTCATTAATTCCCGAAGGAGCCCAAACAAGCTACTATCTCTCAGCCTCAGTCTTCCATCTGTACTCTGGGGATAAATGTTTTATTTATTTAAAACTTTTCTGTACTGTCTTCATCAAAATTTAATTCCAGGGAAGGTTGACAAAAATTAAAATACAATATAGTCACAGTTGTAGAAAGAAAGCTGTACGTTATTTTCATTAAAAGGTGCATTTCATGCACTTCCCCCTAATGTATGCATTTTTGCACATAAATTTGGTCAGGAAACAGCACTGCAAAATTCAGAGTAGTGCCAATTTCAAAGGATACCCACATTTCGGTTTGTATATTGTTTTGGGAAATGTGAACTGGGATCAGATTCCTATGCAGCCATTAAGCTTGTCGATTGGTGCTCTCCCTTGCCTAGCCTACCTCCCAGGGCTGTTGGGAAGATAAAAATAGGGCAATCCTCACACATGCTGAGCTTCTTGAAGGAAGGACACAAATGTTATTGATGGATAAATAGATGCTGTCTTGAATGAAGGCACCTCCTTTTGTCAGCTCTTCTGAAATCAATTCCCAGTCACTTGAAGCAGCCATCAGTCACTCATCCTCTAATGAGTGCCTTTTAAAAAAAGAGAAGAGCACAGCAAAAAGAGACCTTGAAGTATCTTAACCTCCGTGACCTTATTAATAACTTGTGAAGAGCTTGGCAGCATTGGTGCAACTGCTTTAATTATACAGCTGACAGCAATGGGAGGAGATGAAAAGGAAAATGTACACAGGTCCTGCAGTGTTTGGACCTCACAGACTAACAATAATAATAAAATAATAATAAATAACAAGGTAATTCTAAGCAGGTTTACTCAGAAGTAAGTCCAATGGGACTTACTCTGTACTAGGTATTATTATCACTATTAATATTGGTGCTTGATAGACACAACACAAGAGGAAAAGGACTAGGGAGGGAAGAGGAAAGCAAGCATCAGAGCAGTTTCTTCTTCACTGGACGTTGGATGGGATCAGGTCTGATCCCCCCTTGGAGATCATGGTAGCCAGAATCATTCAGAACACTTAGGCTGTTTAGGCATCCTAGAAAGGCTAAATGTGATAGAGACATAGTCCAAGCCTGAAATGGAAGCCTTAAAATAAAGGCTGGAAAGAATTCAAGGGAATTCTCATGCCACCCTGAAAGTTGAGTTTTATTTAATACCTCTACTCCTTGCCTTTCCATGAAAAAAGGCCCAAAGCAATGAATTTTCTCTAGGAGCAAAGGAAGCTGCCCTGATTATACCATTGAGTCCACCTAGCTCAGTATTGTCGACACTGACTGGCAGCAGCTCTCCAGGAGGAGAGGGACTTGTGGGATTTTTCCGTCTCAGGTGCTAAAATAGCTTGGGGACGGTGCACCTTGGAATTGCAAGGAAGGAGGGGGCACCATTGCTTTGCCCCCAGCAGCAAAACATCTCAGCCAGGGTTGCTTTAAAAATATTTTTCAATAAAATTAATCAGTGCACAAGATAGGCCTGTGCAGACACACACAGATACAGACATTGTCCGTCCACCCCAGATAGATGACCTCAGACAAAGGCTGGCTCTCCTTGAGTGTGCAATTGCTGTTAATTGGGAGATAACAGACGGGGACAATGGCGCTCTAGGGCGAACTGGGGGCGGGGAGGGGGAGAAAATAAGTTAAGACAAACACAAGCAGGGCTCTTCTAATTGGGAGCCGCGCCTGATGGATCAACCCGCTTTCTCTTTGTCCAGGAGCCAGGAGGGGCCTCATATTGAGGAAGAAGGCGTCAGCCACTGACTCCTGGACAAAGGACTGTCTGCTGCCAGCAAAGCCAGGCGTCCATCTCTCTCCCCCCCCCTTGCGCCCCCCCAGCCTTTCTCACCCAAATCTCAGAAAATTATTAACCCCTTTCTGGGAGGCTGAAGGATATTCCCGGCTCATTGGGACAGGGCAGTAAAATCAGCAAGATGTTTGATGAACCAAATTTGTAAGGACGTCAGAAGAGACCTGCTGGTGGACCAGCAGGAAACCCCTGAACAAGACTTGAGAGCAACAACAACTCTCCCTTTTTAAGAAAGCCAAAACTGTATTACTGACAACCAAATCTTTGGTTCCGCTTATGCCTTTGGACAAATAGGTTTGGCAGGGTGTTGTTGTTTTCTAAAGGTTTTTGGTTGATTTTTTTTAGTTTTCAAAAAGAAACAAAACCCCCCACCAGACCCGTTTATCAGAGAGAAAAATAGGATGATGTTTTCCTCTTACAATAGCTGGTTGCAACATTTGCCTAGATAATTTTCCAGCCTATGTAATTCCCAGGCAAATTGTCTCCAGGGGTATTCAATGCCCTTCCTCTGTATCTTATATAAACCATCTTGTTCTACCTCCAAGGAGCTCAAGGCGGTACACATCAATTCATTAAATGTATAGCCTGCCCTTCCTCTCAAAGGAGCCTGGGGCAGTGAACACACTAAAAAAATCTATTTAAAAAAACCCTGTTCCAATACAGAGGCAGACTGAGAAAGATGTCTCCTTAAAAGCCGTGTTGGAAGAGGAAGGTCTTCAGGAGGAGTCAGAAAGGCAACAGAGATGATGATGATGATGATGATGATGATGATGATGATAATAATAATAATAATAATAATAATAATAATAATAATAAATAAAATTATTTATACCCCGCCCTCCCCGGCCAGAGCCGGGCTCAGGGCAGCTAACACCAATAAAATCACAGTAAAAAACATAATGGGGTGGGGGGGTGAGAACAAATTTAAAATGCAGGTTAAAATGCAATTTAAAATGCAGCCTCGTTTTAAAAGTAGCCGATAAATCAAGACCGTAAGGGGAGGGAAAGATAAGGGTCAGATGGTGCCTGTCTGATATTTAACATGGTTGCCCACCTGCACTTATCCACCTGACAACCCTGTGACGTAGATTCGGCTCAGAGTCTGTGACCGGCTCATGGTCCTCCAATGAGCTTCATGGCTGTGTGGGGATTTAAGAGCCTGACCTGAGTGCCATAACCTTTTCCCTACCTGTGATAGCCGTCTTTAGATATTTGAAGGTTTGTCGTATGGAAGATGGAGCAAACTTGTTTCCTCCTACTGCAGAGGGCAGGAGCCTCGAACCAATGGGCCTGATGGGAAATTGTAGGCCCATTTACCAAAGGGCCCCCCTTTGCCTCTACCGGGGGACTCGGAGTAGCTCCCTCAGTTGGCCAATGGGCCTGCCTGGCTCCCCTGTGTCTTCTGGCCTGAGGGCCTCAAGTTATCCACTTCTGTATTAGACTTATAGACTGCTTTATACTTTTTAAAAATATTAACACTTCATGGCTGAGTGGGGATTTGACATAAGAACAGCCCTGCTGTTGGGCACGTTTCCGGAATTTTCTACACGTTCCCTGAACGCCACTTTGACCATCATAGTGCAGGGAGGGTTCTGAGGGCAGTGAGGGACAACTTGGCAGTGTGGGGGGGAGGGCTCAAAGCATATGGGGAGGAATAATAATAATAATAATAATAATAATAATAATAATAATAATAATTTATTATTTATACCCCGCCCATCTGGCTGGGTTTCCCCAGCCACTCTGGGCGGCTTCCAACCGAATATTAAAAACAATACAGCGTCAGACATTAAAAACTTCCCTAAACAGGGCCGCCTTCAGTTGTCTTTTAAGAGTAAAATAGTTGTTTATTGCCTTGACATCTGCTGGGAGGGCGTTCTACAGGGCGGGTGCCACCACCGAGAAGGCCCTCTGCCTGGTTCCCTGTAACCTCCCTTCTCATAATGAGGGAGCCACCAAAAGGCCCTTGGAGGTGGACCTCAGTGTGTGAGGCTGGAGGATGGGGGTTGAGACGCTCCTTCAGGTATACAGGACTGAGGCTGTTTAGGGCTTTAAAGGTTAGCACCAACACTTTTGCACAGAAACATACTGGAAATGTACTGGGAGCCAGGAAGGACAGATATTGGGGGATCTGTTAAGCATTCAGCCCCCTGCCTCCCGCCCTGTGCTGTGCAGGCTGGCAGGTGTGCCTTCAGCTCTGTTGCAGCAGAAAAATCTCACACGCCCGTTTGGTTAAGCAGCGGAGATCAAGCTGTGCCGGGAGACGCCGTCCGCTTCAAGCCCCAGCTCGCATGCTTGAGTTCACATGGTTTCACCAGAATTGGTCTTGCACAGCTTTTCTCCCCTGCAAGATTCCCACTGCATAGGTGCATCGCCCAAATCTCAACAGCCACCGCCATTTTCCATTTCTTCATCGCATGGGGTCGGACTGGATGACCCTTAGGGTCCCTCTGGACTCTACAATTCTATGATTGATCAAGATCACGCAAAAGGCGCACTCCATTCTTACGAGGAATGGGCAAGCATTAATTTTACTTTGTTTCTTAGTCTTTTAAGTTCCATTTGCCACATTTGTGATCTTTCTTAAAGCAACTCCTCAGGAGGATTAATCGGCATTTCACTGTTGTATGTCATTTTCACCAACGCATGCATTTTTGTTTGGCCAGAGAAGGGGATCGCAAAATGCTGAGAAGTGCACATTGTTTCGGGAAGTGCAGAACAGGTAGGCCCATATTAAAAGGAGAACCAAACTGAATTTGTCCCCTTGCACCCCCAATTCTTACACCGCCAGATGGTGAACCATATTCAGCCTGAGGGCCACATTCCCTTCTGGATAACCTTCTGGGGTCCACATGCCAATAGTGTGGAGGAGGCAGAATTGAATGATTGTCATCAGAGGAACATGCAGTTTCCCATCCCAGAAAGAACCAACCAAAATAAATTGGGGGCCACAGATAGCTCAGTCGATAGAGCACGAAATTCTTAATCTCAGGGCCATGGGTTCGAGCCACACATTGGGCAAAAGATTCCTGCATTGCAGTGGGTTGGTCTAGATGACCCTCATGGTCCTTTCCAACTTTGCAGTTCTGATTCTGTGAAAAGCCAGAGGCTTCCAACCCGTATCCTCTATCTCGGCTGAGCACAAGTTATTGCCAGAGTTCAAGGGCTTATTCCAGCCAGACAAAAGCAATTGAGAAGGAGGGGTAGCGGCACCAGGGGAACTCCCTGGGACTTTCCCAAGAGCCAGATAGAAATGCTTGAGGGACAGCATTTGGCCTCCCCCCTGCTTTACAAGGGAGGTTGTGCAGATTTCAACTAGATATCACATTGTAAGTGCTTTAACGCATGAAAGCATTGTATAAATGTTAAGGACGGTTAGTTTTTATTTATTTCCCCCTTGATTGGCCTAGATTCTCACAAAGCTTTCATAGGCTGCATGCACACCATCCATTTAAAGCTAACGACTTTTTTCTAAGAATCCTGGGAACTGTAGTTGACCCTCTCCCAAAGGCACAATTGCCAGCACCCTTAACAAACTACAGTTCCCGGGGTTATTATTTGAGGGTGTGGGAATGTGCTTTAAAACGATGCACTTGAAATGTTTGGTGGTCTGTATGTCACCATCGTTACAACACTAATTAGGCTTTGTCAGCAGAGGGCGCCCTGTTCATAAGGAGCCAGCCCCCCTGGCTTTTTCCTCTCCTCTTTCCCAAGACAAACAATTTAACTAATAAATCTTCCAGAGAATGAGGAAAGGGTAATTGGTGAAGAAAAGGGGTTGTTTATGTCATCCTTTATTGCTTTACCATAAAGCGATGTAGCTGAACTTAAAGCAGAGAGAGAGCGAGAGAGCAAGAAGAGGCGAAAGTTCAATTCCTATCCTGCAAAGAGGAAGAAAATAGAATTTTCCATTTCAGATGGAGTTTTTTGTAGGGGACTGGAGGTGTGGTGGGAGCAGAGAAGATCACATTCAGGGGTGGAAGATGGGGAGGCAAGACCCACAGTAAGGGGGGGGAATGATTCTGCTTCTGGGATGGAACACTTCATGTTTAATAGCCTCTAAAAAAGAAAAGAAAAGTGGATTTTAGGAGCATCAATGGCAGTTTTGTAAGCCTAAAACACACTGGCCTCTGGATTGTTCCTTTCCAAGTGGGGCTCCCTGTCAGTGTGGATCAGCTGATTGGCACTGACAGGGAACTCCGCTGAAACTGGTTGCGCAAGAAACTCCAAACAGAGTTGATCTCTCCTCTGCAGAGGAAACGGTTTGGATTTAAACCGCTTCCTCCAAAACTTATCAGCCCCTTTGGTGGCAGGTGCTCCTGCGCCAGTCAGCTGATTGGCACTGAAAACACATCTTTAAAGGAACCACCAACCAGCTAATTGACACCTACAGCAACCTCTGTTTAACTGGATCGCTTGATGTTGTTATGACATCAGGGTGATTGACTGGCGGATGGTTCCACCCACCTGTCCGTGTTGGCCCATGGGAGGGGCCGGGAAGTAGGGATCCAGACTACTGACGGGATCCACTTCCCTGCCCGTACTCCATATGGACAATGACTGGATCTTTGGCTATGTCTGACATATATGTATCTGTGTGGAGATCTGACAGTATGTGTTGGCTTCCAAAGACCCACAACCCACCAAGGGGCCCACTGACAAAACAGAATTAGGGGACATTAGAAAGAATTGCGCCTGGGCAGTTTTGTCCAGCTGGGCAGGCAATTTTGGAAGGCAACTGAGCACACACCTCTTGGAGTGTGAGGAAAGGAGAATTCCATTAACCATATTTAATTCCAGAGTTTAATGAACAGAGTGTGTAAGGGAACCACTCTTGTGCGGTCATGAAGTTTGGAACTGCTTTTCAAACAAAGGCTGGATTCCTTTTTCTGATCTGCTGATCTCTCTGTGGTTTATCTACCTCCCAAGTCTTTCCCCAGATCTTCAGGGGCCGTCACAATGGAAAGAATAACCCTGTTACTTGAGATTTAACACTTCTCAGGAAGTTTCCCTTTGGTGGGAACGCTATGGTTTGTTTTAGCAACCCAAAACTGTTAAATCTCAGTCTGTTGTGCTGCCATAAAAGGCCCAGAAGCAAGTCCTGTGACAGCAACAAGAAAGCAGCTATGTTGTTCTTTAGAGCAGAATGGATTGAATATGTTCAGTGAGCTTGGAATGGGAATGGAATGACGTCAGAGAGGACACGGAATAGAAAGGAATGGAGCAGCACTCCACATGCTGCAACATTTTGTTGCAGGCCCTACATATTTGTCTCTGTGGCCTAATCAAGAGAGAAGTCCTTAATCAGTTCTGTGTTGGTGCTCTATCAGCAACCGTTACAATAAAGTGGAGGGGTAGAACTGTCCCATATTGCAGATGGGAACAGACTGCAGCTCTAGTCAAAAGTGAGTTTATGGTAAGATCTGAACCAGAGACTGCTTAACTCACCACTCACACGTCTGTAGCTCGGTCCTAGGCATGTTTACACTTAAGTAAGCCCTACATGCTCTGAATTGAGGGGGTGGGGTGGGGAGAAAGGGCACATAGGATTGCAGCCTTAGTCGCTGTGCAACCCCAGCTCCCATCGGCTGGGGAAATATGTACACATCTTGTTCCAGGGAGCCTGTGAGAGATAAATCCTAGAAAGTTCATCAAGCCAAAAAACCAATAAAAAGCTTCCTCCCTGCAATGATGGGAAGCATATTTTGCAAACACAATTAAGGCGAAAGATCATGTTCAAAGGGAAACAGTTTATGTTGGCAATCGGAATCAAAAGGAAAAGGAACGGAAGATTTTATGGATTGTGAGAGCCAAGTTGTTGTTGTTTTGTTTTGTTTAATTACAGCAAAACGGTACAATGTTCCCCCCCACCCTGCCCCCACCCTGTGCCTTACCCCATCTTGCCAGAGAGCGTTTCTGTTGCTGTCACTTTAAATCAATCTGCAGCCCCCCCCTTTCCATTTATATCTCTGTAATGCGAAGCGGATGCCGATGTGAATTGAAGCATTTTAATCTTTCCTGATCAAAATGAAATGCAGACCCGCTGGGATTTATAACAGACTTTCTACACATCCCCTAATTGAAAATAATAACAAACATCATCATCATCATCATCATCATATTATTATTATTATTATTATTATTATTATTATTATTATTATTTATGGTCCTGACTGAAGCAAGAGCGGAAAAAGAATCAGTAAGGGAAAGGGGGTAGGGATATTCCTAGTTTGAAAGAAAAGAAGCAAAGTCTTTATATTCAAAAATTTATCATGGTTTCTCATCAGTTATTTAAAAAAGAAGAAGCCCAAATTGAGACCAAATGACTCAGAGTAAAAAGCTGTGTACACACCATACATTTAAAGCACTTTCCTCCTGAGGAATCCTGGGAATGTTTGTTAAGGGTGCTGGGAACTGTAGCTCTGAGGGCTGAGGGGCATACTACAGTTCCCAAATTTCTTTGGCGGGGCAGGGTGTGCGTGTTTAAATATGTGGCATATTTGCAGCCAAATATGCAAATTGTGGTTGAGACAGACTGTGGGGTGTGTAAGATAGCTGAAAGCAGTTTGAGACTGGATTGGGTGGTGATATCATTAAAATTTCTC